GGCAGCCAAAAGCGAAATCATGAAGGGAGACAAGCTTGGGAGACAAGCTGGCAGCGGCAGCCAAGAGCGAAATCATGAAGGGAGACAAGCCTGGAAGACAAGCCAGCAGAGGCAGCCAAGAGCGAAATCATTAAGGGAGACAAGCTTCACAGACAAGGCGGCAGCGGCAGCCAAGAGCGAAACCATGAAGGGAGACAAGCTTGGATGACAAGCCGGCAGAGGCAGCCAAAAGCGAAATCATGAAGGGAGACAAGCTTGGGAGACAAGGCGGCAGCGGCAGCCAAAAGCGAAATCGTGAAGGGAGACAAGCTTGGGAGACAAGGCGGCAGAGGCAGCCAAGAGCGAAATCATGAAGGGAGACAAGCTTCACAAACAAGGCAGCAGCGGCAGCCAAAAGCGAAATCATGAAGGGAGCCAAGCTTGGGAGACAAGGCGGCAGCGGCAGCCAACGGAGACAAGCTTCACAGACAAGGCGGCAGCGGCAGCCAAGAGCGAAATCATGACGGGAGACAAGCTTGGGAAACAAGGCGGCAGCGGCAGCGGCAGCCAATTTTCGCAATCAGGAACCCATCCATTGAGAAGTAAGAACCCCTACAGCTTCGCTATCTGGGGAACAAAACAGCAAAGGGCTAGCCACCAGACGAAGTGTCGCAACGGATTCAACTGCCTAAGGACCTGTGCCTTGTAGAAGCATGCAAGAACATATCTTTGGGGACCAGGCCACGCCCTGTAGGCCCCAGAGTCGGGGGTATCATTGCAATGGACTTAAGAAATACTGGCAAATAAATGCTGATCCTTGGCAAATGATCCTCCCAGTGAGAAGCCGCTGACATGCTCGCTGAGCTGCGCTTGACCTTTGGATCCATGTGGGCAGGAGCATCCGGCTGCTCCCGTCTCACCTCGGTGCTTCGATGTCAACTCGGTCTGCTTTGGACGGGGTCAGAAAGTAGTATAGACCCATGCGCCGGTGCTGTAAGAGACCTGTTTTTTTGACCACCCCCTCGCGGCACATGCGCTCTGAGCAACTACGTCTATGACTTGTCTCAAGTAACGATTTGCTGCTCTTGCCATAGGTAGTTCTGTATTATAGAGTCGCAGGGTGTCTCAAATTGCAGAAAGACAAAACACTCCTCCGCTTCAAACCTCGTCGTACTTCTTGGATGCCAGTCCCCTTTTTCTAATGTTAAGTTTCCCTAAAAATCTAGAAACCAAATCATTAGTGCGAGCGCTTCTTCAAGGAAGCTTCTTTCGCCGCCTTTAGGGCGGCGGGGGGAGCTTCCTCGAAGAAGCGTGAGCTATCCGGCGTCCATACTAGTCTGTAAGGTACTGGCTACCTAGCTTCTACTACTAGCTACCTACCTCTAGCTACCACCTCACCTACCTCCTAGCGTTCTTTACGGCAAGAATGCGTCGGTATGTCCAAGCCCCAAGCTTTGGCACTGCCCGTGGCGATGGCCTCTTGCGCCAAGAACTCTCTGGGAAGCCTGTTGAGCGGCAAGAACTCTCGGCTCCGACGTCCGAGGCTCGAAGAGTTTTGTAGCAAGGGCTAGAAAGGCCTTCTACGCCTTCCAGCAACATCCTCATTGTGACCATGGTGTGTTTCTTTTGGCTGGTGCATCATCTAATCTTAGATACAGAATTTCTGCAGCTGTCTGCTAGTAGCTAGAAGGTGCAGTAGGCGATTTCTACGCCCTCGTTTCTTTCCGCGTTGGTCACTGCTCTGGAAGCTGACACTCCTTCATCAGAAAGGCACCGATGTCTTCGCGCTTCTTTCGCTCCACTTTCAAGGGATCATCTCGCCTGCGGATTGTAACCGTATCGTCCTCCAGTGTGTCGAAGTCAATGGTGCAGCAGAATGGTGTTCCAACCTCATCCATCCGTCGGTAGCGCTTTCCAATGGTCCCCGCCTCGTCATAAAGGACATTGAAACCCGAGGACCGCAGCATTGCAGCTAACCCTTTGGCCTTCTCAACCAACGGTGGTTTATTCTTGAGCAAAGGGAAAATCGCACATGTGATGGGTGCCACACAGGGATGAAACCTCAGCAGAGATCGTTTTTCGCCATCGATCTCATCCTCATCGTATGCACTGCACAGAAGCGCCAGGAAAAGCCGGTCCACCCCACAAGAAGGTTCAATGACGTGTGGCACAAACTTCCGCTTCTGCCCAGGCACCTCACAGTGGTTCAACTCATAAATGCCCTCTTGCAACAAACTGGGCGTCTACTTTCATGAAAGGAACGGCCTTTCAAAGAGTCATTTTGTGTGGGATGTGTAATGCGTGGGTTGTTTATGGTGGTAGTTTGACGGTGAGTCCGTCCTGCCCGGCCCGCCTGGTATTCCAAACTTTCGCCACTAGCTTGGGCATGTTGCTGCAAGTCATACTCCCCCCGTGCCGCCACGCCCAGCAGCTCTTGAGTTCCAAAGGGATATGTGAAGACAATGTCAGTGCACGCACGAGCATAGTGAGCGAGCTTCTCTCCTTCATGCACCTCTCGGTCCAAAAGGCTTTCCTTCAGCCCCACCGCCTTCAGGAAGTTCCACATCTCCATAATCCACTCCTCCTGGATGGCCTTGAAATCCGCCTCTGGATCAATGAAGTATTCGATCTCCATCTGCTCAAACTCCCTGGAGCGAAAAAGGAACTGCCTCGGGGTGATCTCATTCCGAAAAGCCTTCCCAATTTGTGCGATGCCGAAGGGGATCTTCTGCCTCATCACATAGGTCACCGTCTTGAAGTTCACAAAAATGCCCTGTGCAGTCTCTGGGCGCAAGTAACTCTTTGAGGCACCATCACTGTATGGTCCCACATAAGTTTCAAACATCAAGTTGAAGGCCCTAGCTCCTGTGAGGCTTCCAGGAAGTCCAGTAGCTGGTGAAGGGATCAGCTTCACCTCCTCCTCTGTGGCGTCAGTCATATCTTTGATCTCCAGCTCCTTGAAACCACCTTCAATCTTCTTCTGCTTGATGAGCTTCTTCGCTGCCTTCTTCAAAGCGACTTCCACGTTACCATCTTCAACCATGGAAACATATCCAGCACTCGTTCCATCCTCCAGCTCCACTTTGGCCCACATGAGCTGATCCGCTCGGAATCTCTTCTTGCTCTCCGTGCAGTCGACCATCGGATCCGAGAAGTTGTCCACATGGCCCGAGGCTTGGTGCACCGAGGGCGTGGTCACAATCGAGGAGTCCAAACCGATGACATCATCCCGACAATGGACCATCTTGCGCCACCACATCCGTTTCAAATTGTTCTTCAATTCTGCACCCAAAGGGCCATAGTCGAAAAAGCCATTGTATCCACCATAGATTTCGCCACTGGGGAAAACGAAACCACGGCGCTTACAGAGCGAGACTAGGCCCTCCAGGTCAATCTTGTACTCCGCATCTGTGTTCACAGCGCGTCTGGGCGCACTGAAACGCCTGCGGCTTTGACTCCTCAGACTTGTCAAGAAGCTCGCTACTGCCGGGAGAGCGAAGCAGCGCAAGCCAAAACTGCCCCTGAAAGCAGTACTGGCAGAAGGCCTTTGAGGTCGCGTTGGAGGTGCGGGCAATGCGAGTCCAAAGTCTTTGGCCCGCGGGAGGAGCGCGGCCATGGCTTCCATCAAGCGAAAAATGCCCCGGAAAAAGAAAGGAGCTTGAGCGGGGGTTACCCATGGTTACCCTGTTTCTCTGCGAATGCATGCTATATTCCTCGATGCTTGCCAATACTGAGGCATGCAGACAAGTTGATGAGAAAAAGAAAGCTCCAAGGAATTGTTGATACATTTGGCCAAGAAACACAGCTTTGTTCTCTCTTGGTGTTGAGGGTACATTCACCCCATCTGTCATCAATTTACTTTGAAAATCGGCCACCCAGCTGAAACAAATCGCTGCATGTCATTGTAGGCAAGTGCACAACCGCACGAACTGTGCCAGCACCAATGGATTGAATCCGGCAAGAAACTCTCTTTATACGAGTTGGCTTGAAAAGCAGTTCAAGAAGGGCTGACTAGGACAACAACATCAGAAACTAGTGCAAGTAGGGACAGCTTGACCACGAACCCTTCCCACCAAGCTCCTTGACGAAGAGAAGCGTTTAAGACTCAAGAGTATGGCTGTTAAAGGGTCCATGACTCAGGTCGAAAACAGTCGTACTACTATCTGCGCGGGCAAATCAAGCACTCATCCATAGTGCAGGGTCGGCTGCGCCTATCCATCTTCAAGTACGCTCTGCTTTTGCCCTGGTCACCAACCTCTCATCCAACGTGAGCATATGGGGGCTTGCATCTGCAGCCAACTGCTGATCCCGAATCGGCAAAACTACTACAGGACTGCGCACTCTCCGCAATGGCATCAAGGCCCGGACTGCTTCGCAGTTGGAGATTTCACGCTCATAGGTTGTCCTGCCGCAATGTCTTGGCTTGGTCTTACAGGTGGCCCTGAAATAGATGGGAACTACTTCCAACACATGTTCAATGGACATTCTCTTTCTATCTATGGGGAGGTTATGATACCCCGTAATACATCTTGCACACTCCCACAGCACGCCATCTTATGATACGTCGTCGTCGCCCCCGATCGTCCGCAAGGATCGTCCGTCCGTCTGCCACCATCATGCGGAGCATAGTAAGAGAGCGTGAAGGGCGTCTGGGGCGTCTTCAAGGCGATCCCCTGATCACGCTCATCGCACCGCGGTGTGAGCGCGGCGCGCGGGGTCGGAGGTGTCCGAGCTCCAACGGTCGGCTGGTCCCTTAGGAGGTGGTGGTTGTGTTACCATTGGTCTCCGTGTTACCATTGGCCACAGGATTCTGAGCAAAAGGATGGAAGAGAACAGGAACAGGGAAGCTGAGAAAGTATGCTGCTCGCTTCACTTCTACTTCGAAAGGATCTGCGGAAGATCCCACCTCACCAGCTGTCTTGATCGCCATGGCTCTAGGTTGTCTGGAACTCTTTGAATGTCTAATGGCAGCAGTGCAGGCTTGCACAAACGCTGTAGCACGTAGTGCTTCCCCAGCATATGAGGAGTAGAACGAGCCAGTGCGTCCAAATTCGCACAGCACTAGGTGTTCAAAAAGGCATTGGTACAGGAACAATCGACCAAGTAGATGTGAGTCACTCCACTCTTCACGGGCGCCAGCACAGGTGCTCTTAAAAAGGAATCCGTCAAGCTACTTTTCTTTGTATAGCGGTTGGAAAAAGATTCAACAGTGCTTGCCACAAACAAGCCAAAGCCAACATTCCTTGGAACAGTCCAAAAGATAATCCATTCCCCAAACATCTGGAAACATCTATCTATGTCCCTGGAACCTCTGTTGCATTACAGCTGCAGGTCCATCACCAAAAACAGGCGAGCTCCATTCCTACATTGCCATTGCTGTCGTTAGAGCATGCTGGCACCTTTTCAGCAACCTTTTCAGCAACCAAAATCGCCATCCGAGGTGCGACTCTTGCTGCAACCGATGATCCTTTCATGGCGGTCCTACGAAAATCCTTTCAGCAAATCAGTGTCAGTGATGGAAACCGACTCCCTCAGCCATTCATTCTTCATCACCCGCATCGCCTGCAACTGTTGTTGATGCAATGAATAGTCAGAATCAAAGGGGCCTGCAAACCAACCACATGTGTGTTTACATACAGTACATTCACGTGTTCTGCATTAGTTGTGCGAGAGGTGCTGAATCGCGGAGTCTTTTCTCTGCAAGGCCTGAATACTGATATGTCAACCTCGATGTAAGTTCGTCAGCTCTGATGTATTACTGTATGTCATATACAATATGCGGTTTGTACCCAAAGACCACTCAGTAAGTGGGTCAATGCTCAAGTCCCGCTGCCTTTTCCCGTTCCTTTTCATTTCTGGCGTTCTTAACCTCAGTGGGACAGATACCAAGTTTCAAGGCAACACGATGGGACCTAGAAAATCCTTCGCAGTTTTCTTGCGCACAGAGGTCAACCTTGGGGAAAATAGTGTCGCCAAGCTGCCATTTCCTTCATCTTCAAGTATTTCTGCCTCACAAATTCTTTCTGCCCCTCCTGAAATTCGTAGTTGTAATTGAACTGCTCTTTTTGTCTCCAGGGCTTGTCATTATCCTCGACGACAATAAACTTCCTTGGATGGAGGCTTGTTTTGGCACGTGGCGCATCATCGCTCGTCTGGATTGCCAGGATTGCCCCACTTTACAGCGTACGGCACAAGCATATGTAGTATGCTACGTATGTTGGTAGTAAGTAGTAAGCATGAGGTTAGGTAGACTCTACTGCCACCACGTCAGTATCAATTTTCTCAGGAGAATGACTCGCAATCGTCTTTCTCATCAAGTCCCTTTAGAGTCCCAGGCACTTCATCTTCTTGATGTAGTCAGCAACTTCATCATCAATCTCATCGGCTCTTACAATGCTGGGCGCATTTGCAAGAATGGACAATGTCGCTGCTACAGCAGTTCGTCTGGACGCAGCACTTTGACATACAAACAGTGGCTGTGCAACGAGAAGTCCTGTCAAGGCGTAGGAAGGAACACTGAGTGGCGTACAAACCCCTACTAGTCACCAAAGGTCTCAAAACGGCGGTCACACCATTTAAGGTATAGTTTCTAAGCCAGTCTTTGAAGCTTGAAGCACAGGACTGCCTAGTATCCCACAAAAAGAAGCAAAAGCATCAAGAGAAAATCTCAAATGACATTCCAAAATATCGCTTGCAGCAGGATAGTTACATGTTCTCATGCAAGCAGGAGTATATTTCAGGTCGGTCGGTCCTAGAACAAACAGTCCAAATCCATGTAGGCGGAGGCGTGTGAAGCGAGCCATTTTCGTGCGGTGCAACTGCAGAAGAGCGTCTCCCGTCGTTCATTCACTACGTTTGACTCATGGGATGGAGATCCAAGACTACATGTACCCAGTGGAATTTGACTTTTAGAGCCAAACATAAACAAATGCCCAAACGAATCTGTTTCTAGGCAGACATGTGGCCATGGCCAACTCTTTGAGCCATGAAGAAAACAAACTTGAGGCCAGAGGGGGTGAACGAAAGCTAGCCGGGCTTCCGGTGCTGCTGGTGCTGCTGCTGCTGGTGCTGCTGCTGCCGCTGCTGCGCTGGGCGCTGCTGCGCTGGGTGCTCTGCAGGCGCCGGGTCGTCTGCTGCTGCTGCTGCTGCTGGCGCTGGGTGGTCTGCTGCTGCTGCTGCCGCGGCGTTGGGTATGGGTATGCTGCTGCTGCTGCTGCTGCCGCCGCTGGGTGGTCTGCTGCTGCTG